CGAATGAGCCATGCCTTAGGGGCGCTGAGAAGGGTCATATCAAGATATTAGAACAAAAATGAGTGTAAACAATTCACCGATTGACCCCTAGAGTTCACGTGNAGTTCTTGAAAATCGGTAAAATTTGCATAACTTGAAAAATTCGGTAAAAAATTCAAAATTTGTTATTTCACATCAATCTGCTACTAAACGATAAAGTATTATGTTTACTTTTACGACATGCATTTAGATTTTCGGTTAGTTTTTAGGAGGAGTAGTGATCGAGCTCAAAAGAATCCATGGTTTGACCTTGGGAAACCGGCCTGTCATCCCGAAAAATGAAATTCTCGTGTTTCGTCAAAAATAAAAATCTGAGCGAACTAGGAGTTATATTTCTAGAATAAACTTATTCATAGCTATGTTCTGACAAAGTTTGAAAGAATTTGTTTTCTCGATCTTGCACACCTTTGGTCGATATTTATGGACGGCCGCTCTTAAATAGTTAAAATATCGTACAGACCAAAAGGGGGACAGTCTATAAAATGTTTAACTCCTTTTATTGTGAATGGATTAGGGATTACAATGTCATGAATAGCGATGTGACCTTCGTCGATATCTACAGGTTTTCTAGGTTTGGATATTTTTGGTAAGCAGATTTTCTCTGCGGTAGTGGCTAGCTCGACTAAATCGCTTTTCAGGTATCAACTTGTTGAAATTCCTCGGTTTTCTAAGTATTTTTTTAGTCTTTTACAATCTATGCTTGTAGTTCGGACTGTAGGATTTGTTCGAACTGTAACGCTTTGTTTTCAATTTGTGTCATGTCACAAAGCACATCTCGAGATATTAAAGATTGAATTGCGTAACGGACCTACAAAAAAACCATTTTATTGACTGTAAGGAAATTGTCACGAAAAAAAAAAATTATTTTTTTGTCGTTTTGCAAACTATTGAATCAGATGGCGCGCTGATCTGTTGAAACTTAAAGCTTTCTCCACCGCAAGGTGTTACAAACCCAGTGCTTTCGGCCATGTCGTGAGCATAGAGTTACATCATTTTTCCGACGCGAGTACTAAAGGCTAAGGAMAGTGCAGGCTTGTAGACGAGAATRACAGGATACACTGTGCCTTGGTAACAGAGAAATCAAGAGTCACCCCTCTAAAGTCCGTGACTATACCTCGAACTCACTGCCGCGCTATGAAAATAGCACATGATAATGTTTTTAAGCGATTAGCATTCACTGAATTTATTATCAGTAATTTTTCCGTCATTTTAAAAAATCTACTATATTTCTTTGTATGGGATCTGTGTAGCAGCGTAAATAGCACTAATATTCACACCTTTGTTTTTTGTGTAGTTTTGTAGCTTCCAGGGAACATTTTGACAATGGCTTAAGAGGGATTTTCCCATAGGGTCACCTATGACTTGCAGAATAATTTTTTATCAAATCCCTCAAAACTTGCATGTAGAACCAGTTTTGGACGCTGAATCCAATGGTATAAGTTTTATCTCGATCGGATAAATATTGAGGGCGCATGGGGCCAAAATGTGAAAAATTACGTCACTTCCGGTTTTCGAAGGTCGATTTAGTGCACCACAGAAAAAGTCAAAAATCACAAAATTTAGAACGCATTTTATCAAACAAATTAGAGAAATGAAAAGTACATATATAAGTGATTATTTAGAGCTTTTTTTGAACTCAGAAAGAGAAAATGTGAATATTTTATCGATTTTTCAATTATCGTTCATGGTTTTAGTAGTTTTCAAGTGCATCCTACATAAACCTCTGTATCTCCACTGGTACATGTCCTAGCYYAARGCCACTGCATATGAGGAAAGACRAATAACCATAGTTGAGTTTCAAGAAATAATATTTTGGGGCAATTCATAAACACAGTCTGTGGAGCGGTGTGTGATGAGCCCAATTTCGTTCATATTTTACCTCATTTACTTCGTGGCTTGTGTACATCTGTGATTTGTGAATGAATAAATTTACCGAAATCGGGCTTCTTTTGCATGGGATTCCCAAACAGACATCTTCTTGATATAATATACTGCTTTATTCACATCAACAGAGTGTAATTCAGTTAAAACGTCTTGCGAGATCCTCGGAACAAGCTGAATTGAGTCCAATCATTCGCTAACTCAAGCCACTGTTATTCGTTTGAAGTTAGACTTATGCAAAAACTTCCGGCTGTACCTATGTATTACCTGACCATAGAATATGAATACTGTTAAAGGTGTAGAGAAATCCATCATCATTTCAGTATCAAACTCGGTCGGTAAAGCTCATTGATAAACACAACACCAAAGATTGCGTGACATTAACACAGGAATACCGCACAAAACTGTTTCAAAATTATAAGACATAAATAGAAATGGACCCAATATCTATCTTTATTTAACACTTCTATACTCAGATTTGTAAACATGTCTGTTTCTTTATTTGAAAMTTTACTACAGCGGTGAACTAACAAACTAAGTAATTTTAAACATCTGTACTGCATGGCTGTAGACGTATAAACACAARCTTATATACAGTATACCAAACAAAGAGAACAGGTATAGCAACTTTTTTGCCACGATTGCGCAACAATATGACTTTCATTTCTCGTATTGACAATTTTTATCTGGAATATTTTTMTCATTTTGATTTTATGTTTTGATATTATCCTTTACTATATTCCCATTACTTCCCTTCTATAATCGTTTTATTATATCCATTAGCACCTTGTATTCTGATATCATTTTTTTATCGTTGTCATGTTATTATTTACGTATTTATTTATTTATTTTTTTGGCATTTTCGTTTTTTTCGCATTTGTCTGAGGTCTTGTCATTTCCGTGTAATTATTAATAAAAGATGCAATATGAAAACCGACAATATATTACGGTGGACTATGAATTGCACATGCATACTAAATCATGAGCTGCCTGMAGTTCCTTCACAGGTACATTGAGCTACTAATTTAGCAATACGCTCTATGWATGGTGCCTTGAATCTACACTTTGCAAGATCTGCCACATCTACCTGAAGATCGATGCATATGGCCTGCAGAAGTGCCACACTTAGTTTTTTAAGCTTCCCCTCTGCATATAACTGGCACAGGTCAATGGAGTCGTATATTATGGGATGTGACAGCTGACAGTCATCTAGTATCTCTTTTCTTATCCCGGCAAAATATTCTTCATTCATAGCTGCAGCTCTGTGGGTTTCGTCATCGTGAACTCCTTCYAAACCACGTCTATCTTTAGCAGCTCGTCTTGAGAAATATCCCTGAATTTGCGTTGCTGACAGGAATTCCGTTATCTTGAATCTTGGATTCCCGTCAAAGTCCTTTGCAAAACGCATCT